TATTTTACACTTTTTATAGTTGGTAGTTTTGCTCAAAGTTGCTTCATTCCCGTGCATTAATAAACTTCTATAAGGGCTCTTTGTAGGCCTGGAGAAAGGTAAGGCCTGCCCAATCAATTTGGATTATTTGTTAAATGTTTAAACCCATTTTGTGGGATTAGGTTCAGAACCTTTATTCGACCTCAGTGCAGAATGTAATTTCTTTCTTTTTTTTTTTTTTAGTGTCTAATAATATACATGTTTTTTTTTTAAAAAAAAACTGCAACCACCACTAAGAAGTTATGAAATATAATTCTTCACCCCATTTTTTAACTGAAATAGCTGAGTCACCAGCATGGTGTTCTTTGTCCACGTGCTCTACTTTACGACAGGGGCTGGAGTGGGTGGTAATGAGGAGAACAGCTTTTACCCTGTCCACTAGTAGACTAAATCAATGTCAAGTCTCACCTTACTCAACTGTCCTGAGGTGTAAATTAGAAACAGGGTCAATGTCACAAATACAGACCAATGTCACAAATCAGAGGTAAGAGAAAGAGACATAGACACATAGATGTCTTAACTCCCAAAATGCTCAAATTATTGGGGGTTAGGTGACATACCATGTAGCAGTTCTATGTTCTAGGCAGAGTTTTACCCAGACTTTCCCCTTTTTGCCAGCCAAACAGTTTGCAACAAACAGCAAATTTTCTCAGGCAGCACAAGCCAGGCTTAGAATAATCCAGTTGTCCCCAAGAGATAGAGCACTGTTTGAACACCACAACTCTTATCTTCAGGTTTGTTCCTACAGTAGTTCAGTGACCCCTCTTCCTTTTCCTCCCTGCCCTTCCTTTAGCTTCACTCATGAGTCAGAGAGAGAGAGAGAGAGAGAGAGAGAGAGAGAGAGAAAGGAGGAAAGGAGGGAGGGAGGGGGAGAGAAAAAGAGAAATTTAGTCCCTTCCTAATATGCTTTAGTTGCTTGCTCCAAGGTCCCCAACCCCCTTCCTGCCAGCTTCTGTCATGTTCAGGCAGTGGAATTTGCTGACCTTGGCCACAGGGTGGCCTAAGCCTGGATGTGGTAAAACACAATCACAAAAGGGCTTTCATCTTGGACCCACAGGTTGGCTCAGTCATTTCTATGGAGTTCCTGCTTCAGGGGAAAGAGAGGCCAGCTCCTAGTCCTCTTTTTCATTTGACTTCAAGGAATAGGATACAGAAAATAAACCAGCACAGTGGCATTCGTTTCCTCGAAAAATAAAAATAGAAAAGGCAAATTTTCACTTTCTGAGGTGATGATGAAATTTCCTCTGACAGAGAAAGATGCCACTATCTTGTTGTAAACAAATAAATCTAAATTTGTTTACCCCCTATTTTTTGTGGATGTAATTCATTTAGTCGTTCCTAAGTTTCAGACATAAGGCACCTTTTTTCTCTGTTACTTTCGTTTTACTCATCAAGATTATCTGTTGGCTGACAGCTGCAGAATCTGTGACCCACACCCTACAGAAAAGGGAGCAGTTTGAAAGCAACTATGAATTTCACCCATTCTCTGGCCAAAGTTATCTTACGCAGTCTTGATAACACTTTATCTCACAGAGCAGAATAATACTGCTGCAAATGATACTAAGATGTTTAAGGCTCCTGCCTTACTGAGAGTTATTATTCAGAAGTTTACACAGTCTGCACACACTTATCAGAAGTCCTGGGCAAAAAGAACAGAACCTCCGTTTCACTAAGATACAGTGGAATGTTAAAGGTTTGGCCAGATAAAGACCACTCTTCCGAAGTTCAAAATCTTCCTTGATGATACCACCATTCCCTAAATGAAAATGGATGTCTCTCTGAGTGAAGACTTGAACATGAGGCAAGGGGCGTGTGTCTGTTTAAGAAACATTTTTAATGCTATTGATTTATTTGTATTTATTTGAGAATAAGAGAGTTGAAAAACAGACTCAAAGGCATCTGTCCACTGGTTCTTCGCCCATAGGCTCACAACAGCTGGAGCTGGCACAGGCTGAATACAGAAGCTGGAAACTCAATCTGAGTCTTCCACATGTTTGGTAGGGACCCAGCTACTTGAGCCATCACTTGCTGCCTCCCAAGGTATACAAGCTGGAAATGGAAAGTAGAGCCAGGACTGGAATGCAAGCATTCTAAAATGGGATGCATCCTCCAAAGCATTTTCCTAACTGCTAAGCTAAAGCTCTACTTCAACATTTATCTTTTGTGTGTGTGTTGTGAAAATCATAGAACATTGACAACTCATTCTGGTACTGAACCCTACATGATCACACTAGCACTACATACACAAAATGTAAGTATTTCTTTTAATGGAGAAAATTCCAATACAGCCAATACCAAGGTATTTAATGAGTCAGATCTATGCAAAATGTATCTAATAAGAAAATGGATCTGATTTCCATTCACTATCGGTAACTGACCAAAACAATAAAAGAAGGCTATGAGTTATTATGCCCACTCAGTTGTCAAGCCAAATCCCACAAATATGGATAAGACTTGCAAGAATAGGAAGTCACTCTCTTTTATTGATCACACATGTCTTTGCAAAATGAACTAAAACCTGTGGGACACTCACCACTTTTGTAAAATGTAAAATATCAATTCACATGACATGTTTCTTCAAAATTTCTAACTGCTTGATAAAATATATTAAACATTAGTTTCATTGAAAATATCATGCTTTTTGGTGAGTATTTTGCCTTTCCTTACAGAGCACATGAATTTAAAGAGAATGACATTTTAAGGTATGGTTTCCCCAGGATTTTTTTCAACTAACAGCCTTTATGTCACTATATAACTATACTTGCTTTTTTATGCAGATATATATTGCAGGGTAGAGAAACCATTTTTTGAATATTAGGACATAGTTACACTAGGAATATTGGTGAAATTCTCCTGCTTGTTTCATTTTGGGGGATTTTCAAACTGCAAAATTTCATTATTTTTCAGTTACATTGAATTTATAGATGAACCTTCCTTCTTTCACCAGTGCCCTGCAATCCAGACATTTTTCAGGGCTTGTATTTCTCTCCAAGATGATTTCTTTGGAGGAAAACACAAAGACTAATAACAATAAGAAAACAGACATTACAGTTACAGGATATAGGATATTGAAAAGAGAATTAAGAAAAATGTCCTAAAGAATATGGTTAAACAATAAATCTTAAGAAAGAGAATTATCTAAAATGGAAAATGCATAGCATTTCAAAATGTTTAGGAACATTTCAGCTAAAGCATCAGCAAAGTTTTGTAGCTAAAGGGCCATATGCCCTATTTTAATAAAAAGGAATCCATAAAAAATAAATTACTTTCACTAAGTATATGCAAATTCCAATGTAAGCAATCAGTGCAAAATTAATTTTGCCAGAACTGATTAAAAGCATTAATAAATCTATATGCAGTATTGCTTCAATCTGATACTGTAAATTTATTATACTTCCTGTAAGATTAATTATAATGCTACAATAACATATTACGATGCCAGAACATATTACTGTACATTCTGTTAATAACAGTTAAGCGTAACCTGAGTTGTAATTATGGACTGTAACAAAGTAATTTGATAGTGATTGTTTTCTTTAACTGTTACTGTTAGATGGGAAATAAAATGTGTATGTGCTTGTGTTCATTATATTTTTCTCTTTAATACAATACCTAATTAAAATCATGAAACACCACAGTATTTGTTCTCACAGATTCCTTTCACTTTTCTCTCCCCACCAAAACTGTCAGGCTGCCTGAGATAAGAGAAGGCTAAAAACAACAGTTTAAGTTATTCAAGGTTGTTGTACATTCTTGTTCTGAACCAGAGCAAGCTTCCTTGAAAACATATTTCACACACACACACACACACACACACACACACACACACACACACGTTTGTACTGCACAGGCCTGAGGCTCTGAGTTCTTTGGATGACATCAATAATTTTTCCATATTATTCACACATCCCACAACTAAGGAACATAAAATGCAGCCATTCCAGGTAGCAAAACAAAGAAGCTGAAAATCCTTTCTGATGATGATCTAAACAAGCCAGAGAGAAACTTTTCTTTTCCAGACTTTCATCCAAACTTGGCACTGTCTTCCCACTCTGCGGTTCTGAACCACAGTCCTGAGCTCACAGGATCTGAAACTCCGAAAAGACCAAGACTTTGAGGACATGGATAACTTTTAGGGCCCTTGCCATGTTGTTGTCCTTTTTCGAAAGCAGAAGCAGCTACCCATACATATAATTTAAGAACACAAAATCTTAGACCCTTTAGAATACTATACACAAACTTCGAGTGGCAAACAGGTTTCTGGAGAAGTACCAAAAGAAATTATTCAAGTTAAGCTTTTTTTGGATATATTCCTGATTAAGGCTGAACACAATGAAAAAAACAGTGTGAAGCACAATCCTGAATGGCATCTGTGCTTGGAGCTTCAGAGTACTGCTGACTGTCATCAAACTCTGTGTGTCACCAGCTGGGGGTCGGGGATTTAAAGATGTCAGGGGGACCTGGCCTCTCAGATGGGATAAAGATCAGAAGGAAAGCTGTCCAGGTGATGCCCGGGCCCCCGAACAGGCCTATCTGCACTTTCATTCAAATGATAATGAGTATGTGAACCACAGCTGTTCCTCCTCATGCCTCCATCCTTGTCACCTGAATAGCATCCCCACCAGGTATCAAATGAGCTACAGGAAATGGGTTTTCTTTTTATCCAACTTCACTCTGAAATGAGAAAATGAGCACCCTGACAAGGAAGACCACAAACCAACAGGGATCCTAAGCCCAGATTTCATCCTAATAAAGAATGTTTAATTGTTAGCTGACTGTTCAGCCGGTGAGCAGGAACACCATGGTTTTGATACAAAGGTAGCTCTTTGGCTCCTTACTGCCCAATTCTTGAATAGCCTCAGAAAAGTAGCCTGATAATTAGTAGTCACTGACTTTTTAATGATTTCATCTCCTCCTAATGGTGCAACCCCCAAATCCCAGGCAGGACCAGCAATTCTCACCTCTCTGTCTTCTTTTAAGCATCAAAACAAGGGCTGCTTGCGTAGAAGCACTCCTGGAAGCCTGGCAGTAAGTAATATTTTGCAATTAAAACATTTGCAAATGTTTAATTGTCTGAAACAGCAATGGCAAAATGGAGAAGACCCCTTATTTATACTTTCATATGTAAAGGACATTTTGATCTAATGGTGCGTTTCACCTCTGGGTTCATCTTCCTCTGCTTCTATCATCTCGTTCCTCTTTTTTTTTTTTTTTTTTTTTTGATCAGAGGCATGAAAGAGTGAGTAAGTGTGAATGCTTAGGTACCTGGGGTATGGAAAGGTGGTAATTAGCACAGCGGGATAATTGATGTGTAGATTGCAGCATGAACAAATGCTTTGACTTGTTTGTTCTTCTCACTCTTCCACATTCATTCTCTCTCTCTTTCTCCCTCTCCCTGTTTCTTACTCTCCCTTTCTCTTTGAAAACCTAGCTTAGCTAATGAACACCTTACCTGCTTAGTTAAGCGGATTAGGGGCTTACATCGGCCTAAAGGAAGCACCCCAGGCTTGTAGAAGATGTTCAGGTGCTTTCAGTTGCAACAAACCTCCACAACCTTTCCTTCCCTCTAGGGCTTCCAAACACAACACCCAACAGAGACTAAACAATACCACCCAACCCTGCAAAAAACAACAAAAACACCTCCCTGATTTTAGGAGGAAACACATTTTAGAATTTAAAATCCAAACCAGAGAAAATTCCTAAAGAACTTTATCTGAATGGCAAATGCACTGTCAGTTCAAGCTGCACTTACAGGACTTTGTTCTTTGGGCAATCTCCAAATTATAACTGCTCCAAACTCTGCTGCTTCAGTGGCCCTAGTGTCTCAGAAAATGGTTAAATGGAACTGCTAAAAACAAATGAAAACATCTCCTAATACTTTTGCTTTATGACCAAGTTGGTTTCATCAGTTTTTCAAAGCTGTGGGGAGACTTTGTGAATGTGATTTTCTTTCTTTCCTCTCCTCCTCCTGTCTTGTCCTGAAACTAACTGCTAACTTGTATATAAATTGTAACTCATACAGGCCATTAAACATGGGGATCCTTAATTGAGGTTTTGTCCATCTGTCTTGGAACACACCTAGCATACAACCTACTTAGTGAGCATTTAATTTTCAGACATCAGGACACAATGGTTCAGTGGCTAACTGCTTACAAGTGTCAGGATCCCACATGGGTGCTGGCTCATGTCCTGGCTGTTCCTCCTCCCATCCAGTTTTCTGCTTGTGGCCTGGGAAAGCAGTGGAGGACAGCCCAAAACCTTGGAACCCTGCACCGGCGTAAGAGTCCTGGAGGAGGCTCCTGGCTTTGGATTGGCTCAGATCTTGCTGTCTCTCCTCTCTGCAAACTTGCCTTTTTAACAATTTCTTTTTAATAAATCTTAAAATTTTTTCAGACATCCATATGATGTTGTCAGTAGACTATGAACCAACTTCTCCCAAAAAGACCTGGACTCTTGAGATATGTTCCTGTCCATTCAGTTCCTATACCAGATCCCACGGAATTTTAATGGTGGTTAATCAGTCTACTCTGGCATGAGTTTGATGGCTTATAACACACCATAACAGACTATGTTTAATAGCTTTAAGTTTCAGAAAACTGATTTTAAAGTTTGATAAAGGTTGGAGCACTCTGGTGTTTATAGGTTATCAAACTTCACTAAATTTAAGTCACACCCCAAGCTCTTTCAAGCCCATACTCTGTTTTATATACAACTGTTTTCTGGCTACTAAGTACCTTGCTAGCAGGAACCTTCACCATACACATCTGACTGCACTGGCCTCCTCTGTTCTATACAATTTGGTAGCAGTAGAAACATGAATGGGATAATTAATAAGTAGCTGATGAAAAGGTAAAGAAAATTTACATAACTGGCTTTTAGTAGTACGTAAAATGGCTTATAGTGTTTATTTTATGTTTAACATGGCATATATATATATATATTTGCTTATGTTTATTGCCACCAAAATACACTGTTTAGATTTTAATATTATTTCTCATGTTCCCAGCAACTCTCATCTTGTTCATTATTCACAACTAGAAAATGACTTTAACTAGAAAATAATACATGTTGTCACTAGCCTTTAAATCCTTTTCCAAATCTATGCCTAGTAAAAGTTTTTTATAAATGCACCATCACACCAGATCACCTGAGCACAGTGAGGCCATTTTTTTCCCTTTAAGTATGAGGATCCTTAACTGGGAGCTGAGAAAGGGATTCCAGCTCTCCATGCCCTTCTCACTGCCCATTTGGTCTCCCTAGGGGGTCAGCCACAAAAGGAAGTGCAAAGAGGGGTACAAAACCTTGTACTCAGCAACTCAGCAATGTGATTGCCCATCTCTCCCCCACATTCTATTTTGTTGTAAGTTCTTCAGACTGCTTAAACTGGACTTGTAACATTGTTAACATAACTTTTGTCAAGACTCTGTACCTGCCTCCTTTACTAATCAGGAGCTATAATAAAACCTATCCCCTGGTGGTTACGGAGGGTCATTGTAAAACATGTAATAAACGCCAGGTATTATTATTAAGGGTGGTTCTTGGTGATGGTGGCTTCTGGATAATTTTCCCTTATAAAAATTTTGTGACTGAATCCTACAATCACTTACGGTAGTCATGCTGAGCCAGTAAAATCTCACTCTTACTCTGCTTCTAAGTTGAGTAAAGGGCAATAAAGGGCATTGAAAGGTCATGACATTTAAGCGTGAATCACACAACTTCAGAGTTTGGGAGCTCCTACTGCACAAAGAGGCCTTCCTGGACACTAAGGTAGATGCTGCGTGGCCACTCCAGAAGGCAGGGCGTAGGATTCCATTTCACAGAAGCAGCCAAAGAACCAAGATGATAAAGGGACTTGCTGAGAGTTTGTGCAGTTAGGTGGTAAAATTTAGTTTTCCATTTTCAACTGTCTGACTTCAGAGCATCCCATCTCTCTGAATGCTGCATCACACTTTTCAAAACCTTGCACGCAAGGTACATGCTAAAAGAGGATTTTATGGTTTTTGACATTTATGTTGCACACATTCAAAAGAGATAAAAATAGACTCCATGCTGCTGATATAATTACTAGAGGCTATAAAAGCCATGCAAAAATCTGGAGAGGGGGCGAGGGACTAGTCGGCAGGAGAACATAAACCAGGGAGCAGTGACACAAACTAGGACTGCATACTGTCCTTATTTCCTTCCCTTAACTCCATGAAATCCCACAGAGTTCTACTACATCAGACCAAGCCTTTATTGTGAACTTGGAAACCTCTCCACTTGCAGGCAGCGGTGATGCCAGCAAGCCACAGGTGGGCACCACATGAACAGGTGAGAAATGAGACTAGAAACGGGAGGATGAGGATTTGGTGCTTCTAAAAGAGCACATCAATCCTAATTATCTTGCCTGGGTGCACTGCTTATGCCATACTTAGCTTCTTTTCAGTTAGTTACACAGACACAGCTTAGGAGAGTTTTAGGCATGAGCATCCATGTCTTTGGAAGAAACCCTGAAAAGAAAAGTGAAGAGGCCTCACAAAGAGGCCTCAGCTCATGGCCTGCGTGCCCTGGGTGGGGCAGCTGCATTGCCGCAAGCTGGCATCATTGCCAATGGCCTGATCCACAGAGTCTCCAGCAACAAACGGGAAGCAACCTGAGGATGAATTTCTGCACTGCACCTCAGAAGGAAGCAAGGTCTGCAGGTCTAGGTAGAAGCTGAACACAGAAGACAGGGACAGCCGCTCAGGGGAATGTGCTTTGTTGGTCCCTTCTGGCCTCTTGTTCATTGTCATCCTAATTTGTAAAAACATCAGCTGAAATCCGTATTAACATTAGCATCCTAAAATGATAAGCTAAAGTGAATGCAGCTCCCCCTTCCAATCTAGCAACATCCCTCATCCTTAAAACAAATAACACAAACAAAACCTATGAATACCTGGCGGGGGTGGGGTCCGGGGTGAGGACAGAGCACATCTACAAAACCCAAACCCTTGCTTTTTTTTTTTTTGCAATTGACTTGAAAATCAGGAAAACAGAAATGGCTAAGATTCAGATCCATGAGATCCAGAACAAGGAGAAGTTTATTTTGGAAACTTTGTATCTTCCTTTCCTGATTGGTGGATGCCTTGACTCAGAGTTGATAGCTGTTTTAAGAGCTGGCCTTGCTTTGGACCATGCATGTGTCTGTGCCCTTGAGGAAGCAGTGACCATGAAACCAAATTCATCGTTCTAGAGGAAAAGGACAAAAGCTTGGGTGAAATGGTTTGCTAAAGATTACAAAGAAGAGTCGGGGATACCGTAAATATTAAAATACGCAGCCCTTAAAATGTCCAGCTGAGTGTGGAATTTACATAATTCAGATTCAAAAGAGTTGCCAAACTGTCTCAATGCTATGAGAAAGGACAAACGACTTTTGGATGTTATACATATATATCTTTTTGATTAGATATTTCAAGATGTCATAGAATAGATTTGTGTACTAAGCTATGTTGTATTTACTGTATCCATCCCAATGGGAACTATATATTCATTCGTCCAAATTTCTGTTTTTTAAAGATTCATTTATTCATTTATTTTGAAAGGCAGATTCACAGAGAGAAGGAAAGAGAGGAAGATCTTTTGTCCATTGACTCACTGCTCCAGTGGCTTCAATAGCTGGACTTGCGCTGATCCAAAGTTAAGATTCAGGAGCTTCTTCTGGGTCTCCCACATGCGTACAGAGTCCCAAGGCTCTAGGAAGTCCTCTACTGCCTTTCCAGGCAACAAGCAGGGAGCTGGATGCGAAGTTTAGCAGCCAGGACATAAACTGCAGTTCATATAAGATAGTGGCATATGAAAGGTAAGGATTTATCCACTAGGTTATTGAGCCTGGCCCCTACTTCCTTATTTCTGGAAGTCATAAAAAGATGAATATGGCTTGAAGGCCAGTTAGATATGATAGGTCAAAGGATGGCGCTCTTTGGAGGTTAGCACTCGCTGTGGCTACTGGCCACGGGTCACTGGACTGAACAAGGTGTTTTAGAAATCAGGAGTGAGGGAGTTATGGAAAGAAAGGGATGAAGGAAACTTCGAGAGACGGACATAAAAAAAAACATTTAAATTTGTTACTACACATGAGATCTTATTTCTGGCACTTTGCAGAGGTCTTATGGAAGCTGTTAGTTCCAATATAGAAATACTACAGTGAGTAAACTGGTGTTAAATTTAAATCTACTTAGGAAGTAATAGCCTATCTATATTCCTGGTAAGATTCCTTTAGGTAAATTTGGAAAAGAGAGGTCCACTGGAGGAAAAGAGTTTTCAAATATTTAATCCATTGCTGTTGAGACTATATGAATTTGTGCTTAGGAAAATCAGCATCCAGAAGGCAGCTGCTTGTTTTACTGACTTAATGTCTCTTATAGTGGCATTTGCAAGGTAGTGCTAGAGCTTATTGAGAAAGATTAACATTTTTAGGCAGGTGTAAAAGTGATTTGGAGGTATAGCAGGAAAATGTGGAAACTTTGGCATTTCCATAGATCAATATTTACATATTGAAAGTTGGAACTCCTCTAGGGTAACTACCTTGGATGATGTGACTCCTCTGCAGTTCATGCCTGAAGCTAGCAACATCTCCTGTTGCAGTTCTGACAGGGACACCTAGAAACATTTGTTCACTTCGAATTACTTAGTTATATTGCAAGGAAGCTTATTATCAAACACATCTTCTATTTTGTTTGGAAAGAAGCAGTTCTCTTGCTACAGACGTTTTAACTTTTGTATTTACTACTTGTCTGATGGATATCACAGTATGCATTGTACATGTTATATGGCACTAAATGTACGTGAATGAGTATTTTCAAAATTCTGGACATTCACATAAAAATTCCTTTGTCCAGCTTGAAAGTAAAACTACTTTTCCTCAAGTAGTACATTGCTGTACATTTGATAATTGTAAGAAAGATGAGAAAACTATAGAGGGTACTACAGAAATTTCAGGGGAAAAATAAATTTAAAAGATCAGTGTATTTGGGGCAAAAATGTTTTGAAAGTTATACATGCGAGGGATCTTCAGAAAAGATTCATAGAAAGTGAGTTCTATGAAAAGGACTATGCAGGGATTTCAAAAATATGTTTGCAGCAGCATAAACCTATCTCATCACTTCCTAGGAACTTTCTGAAGTACGAAGCTGCCTCACACATGCAAGTTGTGCAGGATATGAGGTTACCCCTTGGCACATCTTATCCTTTGAAATATCTG